GGGGCGATATGCTGACTCTGTAAACCGCTTAGAGAGGGCCGAAAGCCCTATGAAGCGGTATATAAGTCTAACTGCTATTGCTATTGCTATTGCTAACTCTCCCAATGATTTCTATAATCAACCAGTACTGTAAAGATTGATCTGTCAGCTGGTGTAATCTCAAGATTGCTTCGAACCTTATATTTCATAAGTAAACCCCTGAACCTGGTTTGTTAGGTAATTGATATCCAGTTTTATTGGTTCAATGGAGATGTATTATATAAGTGGTTAGGTGCCCCATTTGGTACCCTGGATATTATATCATACAGCAACTTTTTTTTTGAAACCCTCTAATGTTCAATATTTTCCACTTCTGTTTGTTTTCCTTTTTACAGACAATAAACAGGAGAAATTGAGGGAGATACTTCTACACTGATTTGTGCAACTACAATGAATAAACATAAATTGAATACCGTCCAGAGTTCTATCAATTTAACCAGCTACACAACATGAACACGCAATATTACAACGGTGGAGAGAATGGAGTGACGTTTTTTCATAATTTGGAATCGGTGAAAAGTATTACAAAAGAGAAAGAGGTATGTGTATGTCTCTGGGTGTATTGTTGTTAATTATCTAATGCAGTGTTTCTCAACCTTGGCCACTTGAAGTCCTGTGGACTTCAACTCCTAGAATTCCCCAGCCAGCTGGAGGATTCTGGGAGTTGAAGTCCACAGGACTTCAAGTTGGCCAAGGTTGAGAAACACTGATCTAATGTATTCATTGTGAAAACTGTGACTGTGGCAGCGGCGGCCCTATATTCTTCACCTTCACCACCATTTTGGGAAACATGGCAGCAAAAGAGTGAGTTTGTTTGCTCGGAATTGTCATAAATTTTTCTACGTTTATTTAAGGGTCAAATAAATACAATTTAGAATCTTGATGCAATCCGCCTCACCCCAATAACAACATAAAAGTTGTTCTGATCAGGTTTATTTCTATACTGATNGTGCACACACCCCTTCTGCAGAAGTCAACGCATGAACTAATGTTGGAGAACAGAATTGTGAGCTTGGCAGGCTGGATTGCTGTCACGGCTTATCTGTACCGGTTTGCTGCCAAGGACCTGTCTGTCTGTTAATAAATTACGGAAAGTATCATTGGCTTGGAGTGTGTTGGTGTGGGACGAGGGGGCTCAGAACAGAACACTATTTGAAGTTACAACAGTACTGAAAAAAGCAACTGATGACCCTTTTCCACACTTATGCCAGTTGCAGCATCCGCATGGTTATGTGACCAAAATTTGGACTTTGGCAACTGGCATATAGTTTTCGCGGTTACGGTGTCCTGGGGTTATCGTTTGCCCCCCTTCTATCAAGCAAAGTCAATGGAAAAGCCAGATTTACTAAACGGCATTACTAACAACTACAGTGATTCACTTAAAAATTGTGGCGAGAATTGTAATGGACAAAACTCACTTTTTTTTACTTAATAACTTAATAACTACCTTAATAACTCTCTTCCATTGCTTAGCCATGGAAATTTTGGGCCCAATTGTGGGTATAGGTCGAGGACCACCTGTGTGGATCTGAGTGGTTACGGAGATTGTGGGGGTATCCCAGTGGTAATAATTCTCATTTTACAGCAGGGGTGTCAAACTCACGTCGTCACGGCGGTGTCACATAACGTATTGGGACCTTCCCCCCCCCCCTTTGCTAAACTGGGCATAAGTATGGCCAGTGTGTGATGCAGTCGGCCCGCAGGCCAGGAGTTTTGACAGCCCTGTTTTACAGCTATCATATCTGGACTGGACATTCAAATTACCTCTAGATCAATGGCTCCCAACCTTTGGGGCACCAGGAACTGGTTCTGTGGAGAGATGTTTTTCTGTGCACTGCGGGGTGGGGGTAGCGCGGTTTCACGTGTGCCTGCGTCCTGCAAATGAATGGGGCTTCACTCATTTGCATGGCCTCGGTTCTGGTGTGGCGCAAACCACTGCCAGTCCATAGCCTGGGGGTTGGGAAACCCTGTTCTAAAGCACAATTAAGCATTAGTGTTTTATGAATCTGGTTACTGCATCTTGTGGTCAGGCAAATTTTTGCAGGCCACTTAATGGTTGACCAACCTTATACAAAATTGTTAGCTGCACCATGCTATGAAAATCGCAATAATGCCGTTCCCACTTCATAAATCAGTGAATGATTTATGAAAGCTTTGCTTATGCGAATATGCTATTACAAAATAGAATGGTTTATTCTTATGTTACTGATTATATATTTAAAACACCTAGTTATTTAAACTGTGATATCATGAAGTTATAACAAAACAGAGGGAAGTGTAAGAGCATCACTTTTTTTTCATTTGGGAGAATGTAACCTATTCCTTTTAAAATAATAATAATAATAATCAGGATTTGGGTATCTAATTGACATATATGACTCCCAGAATATTGGTTGGTTATTACCTTTAAAGCCCTACATGGCTTAGGGCCATCGTACCTCCGAGACCGCCTACTGCCACATACCTCCCAGCGGCCAGTAAGACCCCACAGATTGGGTCTCCTTCAGATGCCGTCGGCCAAACAGTGTCGGCTGGCGGGACCCCGGAGGAGAGCCTTCTCTGTGGCTGCTCCGATTCTTTGGAATCAGCTACCCCC